CTTTCTCACCTTCTACTAAAACCCTCCCCCTCGCCCCACGCCACCAAGAGATGAAGACCTGTTGCTGAGATAACAAGACCTGAAAGGCTTACAAGGTGTTATACAGCATGGCATGGCTGGGATCCAAAAAAGCACTTAGGCACCTCAGAAGCCATTGCCATTTAGGCTAAATTCAAGTGATTCCAGAACACTATTTCCCAACAACATCATTCTACTAGAACACACTCCTGTTTTCTCAACAGGAGGTGCCTGCATCTCGGTTCTGGCACACAGCGGGTGGCACAGCAGCACTGAGAACAGCTGAGTCCAGCTGCCACAGACACTCTCTCTTTACAGCATCCTGGAGAAGACAGGCCTGTGGGTCAGAGCCCTTAACCCAACCTGTGGGAGATTGAGATGTACTTCTCCTAGCCCGCAGAGCTCAAAGTTATCTTTCCCCAGCAGTGTCCTGACTCCCATGTAAGCTACCTGTGGGTGCTCAATGAACAACCTGAGGGTGCTGTGCCCACCACAGCAGCTTTGGGCACGCGTACGGCAGAGCACGTGGGGCTGCTTCGCTTTCCAAGGCAAAATAAAAACCAAGCATCAAGCCAAGTAGAGCAGCGTGCCTAGGTCTCAATCCAGAAGTCCACAACACCCAGCCCCACTTGAGACGCCCTTGCATATCCAGCCCTCTGGGTTCCACTTGAGTCTCCTACAAGTCCCGCAGCCCAGCTGCAGATCTCCTGGACACCTCACAGTGCCTGTTAACACACTACATGCCCAGTTTGGGCAAGTAATCAAACGCCTGACAAGTTTAGGCACCTCCACGGGAGCGAGCAGCCCAAGCATGGCTGTGGCCTCACGTGATGGGTTAAGTCATCAGTTCCGGTCTCGCATGACCTGCTTAAATGTCTTATGCCTTCATTAAATCAAGCCCCAACCCCTTATCCTGAGCAGCTCTAAAACAGCCTGTAAAGAAATATGCTAAACAAAACACTTACCCACACAAAGGCTTCAAGGAAGTTCAGCTGGAAACCGGTGTTTTTTTTCCAACAGTTGTGAATTACAGGCAAAACGTTGCTGGAGAAGCTTCCAAAGAATATTATTTTGAATTTCCTGCCAAAGCTAAACAGCAACAGGAACAGGCAGTCAAATGAACATGAAATATGACTGTTTACTTCAGCCACAATCCTGTGCACAGCGAGATTTGCTGTTGTGAATGTGTATACATGCACCGGACAGCAGAAATGTCCCAGGAATGCTCCTACAGCGGAGTGCCTGTGCTCACCCACACCCCAGGGAGTGCATGTACCGACAGCAGCAGGCACTACCTACCTCATCATGGCTGCAGGTGATTCCAAAAAAAATTGTGATTCAGCGTTACGTAGTTACACAGGTGATACACGAGGAATTTTAAAGCAGAAGACCATCTCTTCCAGTGGTCCTGACCTGCATTTCTGATTTTTATATGACTCCCTCTCCCACAGACATGATTTCCTCTAATTTCCCCTGTTTCTGGTTTGATTTTGTGCAGTTATTGAAGAATGTCAGCTACCTGAGAACTGCACATTTCTGTTATCTGCTCCTGACCCTGAAACACCGTGTGAGAAGTGAGTGACCGATCACATGCCATGAATAACTAATGATTGGAAAGGCATTTATTCTATAAAAGCAAAACAATGCTGGCATCCATAAGGTATTTATGACTCGGGGCTACAAGTCTCCACAGCACAGCCCACTGTAGACTTAGGATACAGGACAAGGTTGCCTGTACCAACCCAGTGCTGCATTTCCACAATAGGATCCATTAACTCATAACAAGCACAGCACAAATGTAGCTACCGTGCCTCCAGATCCAGCAAGGATATCTCCACCCTTGTAGCCTAAATGCACCCCTTCTCTCAGACAAAACTAAGTATGGGTGTGGTTGGAAACACCATCATCAGTACATTGCTAGTTCTGGGCAAGTGCTGCCAGATTTCACTCCTCCTAGACTCACTGAATCCTCTCTACTGATTCTCATTACTTTTTAAAGTCCTTCCATTTAGCTAAGGGGCTCTTCAGGTTCATTGTCTTCTCTAAAACCATGAAAATTGGATGTCACAATATCCCTTGCAGATTCAAACAGCAGAACCTCATTTTCTTCATGTAAGAGCCAGACAGTAGATGTTCGCACGGCTTTCAATCACAAAGACGGGAACAACGCTAGAGAGACAAGCTGCCCTTGTAGGTGAAACTCACAATAAGGCCTTCATCTGCTCTTTGTCAAAATCTCTGCAGATGCTTAGATTGCTGAGATTATTCAATGGGCTTGGAAAGACTCAGGGAAACACAACAAACCTCAGTGGTCTCCATTGCAATTTAATGGCTTTTCTTTTTCTGCATATTCAGTTACTGAGAGAAACCTAACCCTTCCCCAAGCCTTCACCTTTGATCAGAGCGGGTATCAAATGCTGTTTGGTTTAGGTACATTTTGTGCTTGTTTCTTATGCAAATGCAAACTGCTATAAACCAGCTGGCACATTCACCAAATTTGTTTCATGGACTTCAGTCTGTTTTCTACCTTTCACCTAAAAGGGGTATTATGTACATGGAGACTGTGTTTCTGTGATAAGATAATGAGAGATTTATTTTCTTTCGAAAATTATAAGATTAGATCCATCTTGGAGCGATTCCACTGAAACCTGTAGCATTACATCAAGGATTATTTAATTTCATTTTTTTTATTAAAATGATCAGAACAAAGTTAATTTGCATTGAAAATGTTAGTATTGTGGTGAAATTGGCTACTTACAGCATTTTTAGCAAGGTATTTATACTAAGCCTCATCAAGGTTAACCAAATATCTTATGCTCCAAATCAGACATGCATGGCCAGACCTGAGAGACCAAGTCCAACCCCAGGGCTGAGGCTGATCTCTTGAGCATGAAGAATCAGTTTGGATAAAGCTACAAGGCCTTCCTCATGCACAACATCACTTTCTTGTGCAAACCTTCCCCTTGTTTCTGGGCTGCATACACCTGCTAATGGAGTGGCTCACACTGTCTCACCAGTCCCTTGTTCCTAGTTCCAGACCAAATACACAGTCACCCACACACAAAACCAAGTGAATATTTCCACAGCAGGTATTCAGCCAGAGCTGGAATTTGGAAACCAAATGTGGGCTTCAGTTCCTGCAGGAAGATTTGGGGTGAGGCTATAAAACCTGAATTTAAATTTTCCTGATTTTAGGATTTCTGATCAGGATAATCCTAGTAAGATCAAACTAAATAATTTATGAGCTTTTGTTCTTGTTCAGTGGATTATTTTTAATTCAATTAAACTAAAAGCAAACCTTGTCTGAGGCTGTTTATCCATGTCTGCATCTTTAAGTAATCTCATTTAAATCAGTATATGATGGCTTGCAGGACCTGACTCACAAGAATAGTAGGAGCAGCCTATTTAACACGATGTCCTCTGCACTGCAATCCTTGTGAAGCTTCAGGTCTAGGTTCAAGTTTATTATTTAAAACTAAGCACAGAACATTATAGGCTTCAAACTTTTTTTTTTTTTTTCTTTTAAGGGCTTTGAATCAGTTTGCAAGAGGCAGAAGTGACCTTAATTACTTACAAACATTTTCATATCATGATAGATTCACCCTCACACCATCATTGCTGGGTGAGCATTAGCATCCCATGTAAAGCATAGTTATAGACATGATTAACTACTGCCATCCAGCTTGCAACATTCCTTGTAGTCTGGATTTAGGGCAGTGAATGCTTTCCTGGTGGTGGGCCCACAAATCTCACCCCTTTCCTACCCAGAGCACACACGAGAGCTGAAACCTCAATGTTCAGCACTTCAGGTTAAGATCAGAGCTACTATGGCCTTCTGTCCCACTCTCTCTTCCTTCAGAAACTCCAGACGAGTGACAACAGGAACAACTTTACTACTGCTCCCCCCCCCCCAGTCCAAAAATTGCCTGGGAGAAGGCAGACCCACATCAAACCCTGCCAGAGATGAGGCAGGAGGAGGCTCCCTCCATTGGGAGAACTCCACAGAAGGAGGCACCAAAATCAGCTCTGAAGAGCCTGTGGGTCTGGGCACCCCAGGCAAGGTCAGCAAGATCCTCTGTGTTTTATGACTCCAGTAAGAGCTTGGAGCCAACAGCACCTGGATCTGGGTGGATACACACTACCCAAAGCATCGGCCATGCCAGTGTACACAGCAAGGCTGCTTTATGACCCAGGTTTTGTGTGCAGGCCTGTAAAATAGAAACAGCATACCCAAGTCCTTTTTCTGGGCCTGTCACTGTAAGCTAACATAAACAGGATGCAATAGGTCACATGAAAAATTTACTAGCTATGATTGTCATATGGCAAACATGACCAATGGTCATGTGGAGGGCAAACTGACAGAGTTTTCTATACAGTGGTGAATTTTACACTGTAAAATAGTCTAATCTTCAATATATAATTTTAATAAATAAACACTTCTATGGTGTAATATTTAACATATGTTATACTGTCCTATACACGTGTAGTATTTTGTATTATGTAGTGTACTTGTAAAGTATAGGTAGGACCATCCTTAAGACTATTGAACTCACTACTTCAGATTACCTGCCTGCAAATTTCTAGAAAAAAAATAGGTAAATGAAATAACTCTGAAGGTGGTATACAATCTGATGAAATTACTTTTGTCTGTTTTCCACTTGCATGGCACAAAACATTGACCTTGTTTATAACTCATTCAAGACATCTAATTCCTATAAACATCTTCTTTCACTGAATTCTGAAAGATAGCCATGGCTTTGCTCTTACAGAAATTCTACATTTTCCTAATTAATTTATAAAAAAATATGCCAATTATATACCTTCAGCAGGTTTCTGCTCTGTTATTTTCAAGATCTGTAGAAAAAACACCATAGAAAATCTTTAAAAAAAAAAAAAAATCAAATAGCAGCAATACAGCCCCATCTAAGGGAAAGGAACTGCTTTTCTAGAACTTGTTTTTTCCTCCCACACTGGACAATACTGGCAGGCTGAGATTTAACCAGAGATGGGCTCCTTTTACAAGATTGCTTATATAAAGCGAAGATAAGAGCAGCTGGGTTCATTTGCAAGAGGACATCTTGGGAAGAGCTGACAACGCAGCTACTGGAATAAGACCGCAATGAAAAGCTGAAATACTTAATTCCTTCCTCTCTTGTAGGTATTATACTTCATTTATTGTAGAATGCATAGCAGTATAATTGGATGGAGTTATCACTGAGATGTACTATAAGAACTTTTTATAAATATATATATTTAAAGAGGCTGAGTGAAAATGTTGAAATTGATTCCTTTTGTTGGAAATATTTAAACAGCAAGACTTTTTTTTTTCTTTACCTAAATTATATTTGTTACATCTGGCACTCTGATCAGTGATGTTGATATGAGGACAGACACTGAAGAGTGTCTACAAAGGGAAAATACAAGAGCTCCAGTCCCCAGCCCACAGGCTGCTCTGTGCCGGAGTGTGCTTCTGCCTGTGGGAAACAGTTTGTAGGTCTGAGGCCTGCAGTGGAAGTGGAAATTACAGCTACATATGATAATTCTGAAAACTCTAAGCTTAGTAGTAGAGGAGAAATTGCATCATTTACCAAAATTTATCTACATGAAATTAAGACTATATACATCAGGATAGCCATCAACACATAAGTTTCAGCATTACATTATTAAACACAGCATGTATATTTTTGGCATAATATTTCTTCTAGTAATTTCTGCGTTTGTTTTGTTTTTAAACTTCCATTGTTTACATTTAATTTAGTTATTCTAAAGCTTTGGGTTTAGAATCTATAAGAACAAAGAAATCCTGGAATAATTCAAAGCCAGCACTAAACTGAAATACTAAAATTGTGGTGACACAGTGATAATAGTGGCATTGGAGACACATGTCCTGTTGATGCAGTCAGGTTGGATGACAGAATACCAGCAATATTATTTCTTTCTCTCTGTTTAAAAGTAGCTAGTTTAACAGTTTCAGGTCTTTACTGAATGTATTTTTTTTTCTTTCTAGTTTTAAAGACAATTTTAGCTTTTATTCCCTGTGTCCTCAGATCATTGCAAGAAATGGTGCCTGTTACTATTTATCTGCTGGTCATCTTGGCTCAAGCTCTTGCAGGACCCTGCATTCCAAATAAAGCAGGTAAAATAACTCAAGTTTCCTATGATCTTTCCTTGTATTTAAGCTGCCAAAAGGTTGTTTTCTATTTAAAACTAGTTTTTTTTTTTTTTTTTTTTTTTTTTTTCAGAGAATTAAACTGTTGGTTCTGGAAAGCTAATGCTTGTACATCTTTTAACGATTTGTTTCCAGTTAGCACAGTAAAGCAAGGTCCTATCCCCACAGAGAATTACGTATATGCTTAACTAACTTGGCAATAACCAATGTAAAAAGGTTAGGTGCAAGCAGAATTCAGGCATAAGAAGGCAAAGAAAACAGCAGAAATTAGAAATTGGCTGCAATGGCCCAGGCTGGATGCTGCAGATCTTCACTGCCCAAGACAGGCTTTAGTCCTGCTGACTGCAATCAGATGACTTGTGCTGAATGAATGTGCTGGGCTAAACTTCTGAATGCCACTGCTACATTAAAATACAAATAATAATCATCATAATTGAAGCTAAGGCCCTAATTACCTTCTGATTTCTGCCTTGAAACATGAATGTTCTGGTGCCAGACAGACCTTCAGTGCAGAATTCACTAAAATTAACAAACACACTTTTGAAACATGTTGGAATGTGCCTCAACACAGAGTCTTTGATTTATGTGCGTGGCATGTGTATGCTACTGCCAGTAATGTCATGGCATACTTGCATATTTGGCCCTCTATCCATGTATTTCAGTGCCCTCACTTACACAAGCAGTTTCTCTGAGATGCAGGACTTTACGTAGCTGTGAAGCCACCAGTGTTATGGATCTGACCACCAACACAAACAGAACTAGCCGGGTTTTGTTGAACAGAAAGGAGCACATTGTTAAGGTCCCTATTTGACTTCCCCTGTGTATTTCCTAAGTTTCTGTAGACACAGAGAGGCTGAAAAAAATTAGACTTTTATCATAAAAATGATATCAGAAGCTTTAAAATACACAATTGAATAATTCTGGACAGAGGGTTTTTTTGTTTGTTTGTTTGTTTTTTAAGGTAGTAATTGTTAGTCTTTCTCAATTTTCAGTTCACTAATGGTTAGTCATTGTTTGCCCTTTACATTCACATAAAAACCTCAAATTCACACTGCCTGATCCTTTGATAAAAGGCCCAACTCTTCTGGTATCACAAAGCAATCAGTGTAAGTTATGATGTTGAATATTTGTGGTTCTAGCAATAACCACATTAGCAAACAAGTTGTGGTGCCATTGTGCTATTAGCTACTGCTGTTAACAGAGCCAGGCTTTTCAGTTCATTTTTGTATCTTAACTTTTAATGTGAAAATTGTAAAACTCCTGTTTGCATTGGCAGTGCAATAATAGTGCAAGGAAACAGCAGAACATGTTGTGGCCTAGATCAAACACTGCTACAAAAAGATGCAAATTACTGAAGGCTAACAAACTTCACTGATACTATTTCTACACTGTCAGTGGTGTTACACCAACAGAAGTCATCTCTGCAGCACAAGCTAACATGACAGATTTCAGTGCAGCAGTTCTTGACCTCACGTTTCTCAGCAGTCTCTTTGCTTCCTAATCAGCTATTCCAGAAAGATAAATGTACATGAAGTTCTGCACTGATTAGAAGGCAAAGGCAAAACTCCTTCAGGGAGGACTGAATTTAACAACCCCAAGGTCAGCTTTGTGTAGTGCATGCAGTCCTGATTCCCTTGCTCATCACAACAGGGGACCTTCCAGCACACATTCCTTCCCACAAGAACTTAATCCCCATGGAAAGCAGATGTGCAGACCTGCTTCTTTGAAAAGAAAACACCCCTGAAGGTCACTCAAGCTGTGCTGTTTTCCTTTCAGATGTAATTCTGGTATACTGCTACCCTAGAACCATCATTACAAAAATTCCAGAGTGTCCTTATGGGTGGGAGGTTAATCAGCTGGCACTTGGAGGCATTTGCTACAATGGGATCCACGATTCAGGATATTACCAATTCACAATCCCAGACCTGTCACCTAAAAATAAATCGTACTGCGGGACACAGTCAGAGGTAAGAATGTGAAGGTCTAAAAGAGGTAAGACTATCATTTCTAAAAGGCAGCAACACAGCACTACCTGAGCTGGACTCAGAAAGCAGCTGTACTTGCTTTAAAGAGCCCATTTGCTTCAGCTTGGAGTAGGCTTTAAGTACTGAAGGGGAGACAAACTCCAGTATCAGAGCTTATTTAATTTTGGAAGAAGGAAGAATCAAATAGTCATGCTTTGCATCTGCAGGCAAAATACTCACAGGCTTAGTGATGATAATCTGTGTGTTACTCACCCATTTGCATGTGCCTTTACTAAACAGAACATATACATGTAGTAAGGTGTGTGTGTGTATATATATATATATATTTATATATATAGGAAGCACAGCATAGAAAGAGCTATAAATAGATAAATAGAAAAATCATTAGGAATAGTGTTTTGTCACCAGATTGAATCTTCACATTTCTACCTACCAATCTAACATTTCTGCCTTACCACCTACAGTTTAAGAACCCCGTTTATCACTTCTACAACTCCATTGTCTCCAATGACACCTCAGTGATTGTGAAGAGCCAGCCTGTGAATTACTCATTCACCTGCACATACAATGCCAACTACCTGGTGAACCAGGCTGCCTTTGACCAAAGGTAAGTCCTGCTCTGGGAGTGAGCATCACCACTTCTTCAACACCACAGTTCACTGTTACAGAGCTCTGTGTTTGTTATATCCCTAGGGTGGCCACCGTCCACGTGAAGAATGGGAGCTCTGGCTCGTTTGAAAGTCAGCTATCCCTCAACTTCTACTCTGTAAGTGCTCTTTGCCACTCAGTGTTTCACCTTCCACAAATTCCAGCCAAAGAGCTGGGAAAAAAAGGGCTGCTGCTCCTGACTTTCATGTGTCATGGAGCACATTATTAGCCTGTAAAAGATAATTACAGCAGGGTTTGTACAGGTCCTTGTTTCTACTGATTAACAAGGATATAACTTAAACTGAGCAGAGCAGACACATGCGAACAGTTCTTTTAATCCCTCCACATGAGGCAGCTTTTTCTGCTGAGAAGTACATTTCTTACATGCTGACAGGTTTTATACAAAAAAATAAAAACTTGTTTGTAGTCCCACTCAAAGAGCAGCATGCACCTGCAGGCACCACTGCTATGACATTGTCTCTATAGATATAGAAAAGCTCCATGCATCTCTCTTGCAGTTTGCATCCTCTCATCTGACAGACATTTCATGTTCCCCTGAGATCTTTAGGTCATGCTGGAATTTTGTTCCCAGCATTTGTACCTGGATATCAAGCTGATCTTTTGAAACAGCCATCTCCTCCCCACAGCTCTGTTGTGCTGCTGGAGCAGCCAGCTCATGATCCTTCAGTCTTTTTTTCCACCAAAGCACACTCAAAAGCACCAAAGCAGCCTCTCTATTTTAGCACAGCTAGAAAAAGCACAGCTAGAAACATAGTGAGTTAAATTGATAGGTCAGGTGGAGGGAGTATTGAGCACAAGGCAGATTGATGTTTCTCCCCTCACACGCTGCATTTAGGGCACCAGTTGATAGGGCATTAAACATTTTGGCAGCCTTTACATGCTACATGAAAGCCCATGTGCTCTTGTTTTCTGACATATGGCATGCTGGTAGTATATAGTGACAAGGTCCCAGGAGGTGCCCCAATGTTCCTGTGAACTCCTGACAGAATGACGGCAGAAATATTCGATAGGCAGTGAGCAATGAATCTCTGGTAGGTTTTTGTTGTTGTTATTCTTTGCTTACTTGCTATTGTTGCCAAATTATGGTTTTGTTCTGATGTCCATAGGGCTCCCAGGAGTCAAGGATGGAGCAGCTGAACCGTGCATAATACATTTTACCACAGAACAAGAGCAGAACAAGCTCTGAAAGCCAATAAACCACTGTTTTGTTATTTTGTTCATATTTTGCTGGGAAGAAAATGTTAATTTCAACTAAATGATCTTTTTCTCTAATGCACTGTTCCAGGATCAACTCATTTTAACACAAGGACCAAGATGAGTTTTGTGACAGTACTTCTGTAATGACTCCTGTGCCAGCAGCTCAAATTGCAGGCAGAGTAACGTCCTATTTTAAATACAACCTTAAGATTATTAAAAACTCTTTTAGGATTACAATAGCTCTACTACTAAACACTTGGAGCTTGTAGGTGATAAAAAAAAACAGACTTCTGGGTCTGTCTGTCCAGAGGTGTCTGAAGCTGCCACGTTTTGCATGGTACTGATAGCATCTGATGCTTTTTCTTTTTCTCTTCTAAAGAATGCCAAGTTTTCAAGCATAAAAGAAGCCCCTTTTGTCGTTGAAACATCAGAAATTGGTTCTGACATATTTGCTGGAGTGGAAGCTAAGGGCTTAAGTGACAGGTAGGTGAGAAAGGAGAAACAACAAGTTGGCAACCAGGATGCTACGTGCTCATCTGATGCTTGTGCCTCCCCAGGTTCAAGGTCGTTCTCAACAACTGCTGGGCAACTCCCTCCTCGGAGTACTTCTACCAGATCCACTGGCCTCTCATCACCAAGGGGTAGGTTCTGGTGGGACCTGGGGAGCAGCTCTGCCCATCCCAGAAATGTGGGGAGCAATGAGAGGGCAACCCCCTGGTGCTCGAGGCAGCAAGGGAAGGGATGGGAGTTGTAACTGGTGCTGTGGGGAGCAGCCCCTTCCAGCCGTAGGCTTGTCCCCACTATGTGCTGCCTTCCTCTGCCCACCAGCAGGCACCACAGTGAGTTCTCAGCCCCCTTTGCTCACTGGGGCCTGCTGCCCTCGGTGGCTGCCACAGACCTGAATGTGCAGCAGACCCTGGGCCATCTGCAGTCACAATAGGTGGGAAGGAAAGCAAGAGTGGGGACAAAACTTTGAGTGCTGGTTAAAAGGAGATGACTTGAGAATAACTGGAAGGCTTTGCTGACCCTGCAATGCTTGTTAATCAGTCAGATGCCAAAAGGTCTTGATTTCTGCAGGCCCAAACAGTCCCCTTTCACACCGTGTCCTATTGCTCCCCAAGCATCTGAAAGCTGGGCAAATGCCTCCATCAGACCAGGACCTCAGGACGTGGTTATTCACAGGTCAGGGTCTGACACTGCTTCTTCACACACAACACAGGTGTGCCACAGACAACTCCATTCTTGTGCATGAGAATGGGAAGACAAGCCGGGCAACCTTCCAGTTTAATGCTTTCCGCTTCCAAAACATCCCCAAGCTGTCCAAGGTCTGGCTGCACTGCGAAACGCACGTCTGTGACAGTGAGAAGTTCTCCTGCCCAGTGGTAAGGCCTCCCTCTAAGAAAAAACTTGCTAAATTTGGACAGAGAATGTCGAGAAGCTCCTGGGAGCACGTCGGGTGGGGAGCTGGCAGCAGAGCTTGCATTAGATGGAGCCACCGCGAGACGTTAACCTGAGTGGTGGGCTGTGCACCCTGATCCCTGTCATGCCACATTGGGCAATCTGTTTAAACATGTTGGGAAATAATGTAGCCATTTAAAAAGTCAGTTTTTGTCAATATGCCAGACGACGCTCCTGTTTGACAATTAGCTACAGCTAAACAAAAGCATGAGAAAAAAAAAGGAGGAAGTAGAGCACTTCCCATTTTACCAACTGACTCAGTGCTAAGGCTCAAAGCTCACCTCAGCCCGAACAAAACCTCCCGGTCCTCCTTCTCGTGGAAGGGTCTCCTCTCTGCTATCCTGCAGCTCTGCAGTAGGCTCTGCTCTTGAAGCTGTGCTATTCTGCAGGAAATACGCAAATTGTTACTGGAGCAGGGACTGAGATGGCAGAGATGTTTCAGTGGCCTTAGGTGGGAATGAGGGGGGAGATGCTGTGCAGTTATTTAGCACGGGGAGTTATTTAGCACCAGCTGATGCTAGGGTGAGGGTTACTAAAGGGTCTTTCTTTAAAGACTTCTCCACCTCCTTCAGTAAGTCTTCACTGTTCCTTCTCTCACTCAATGAATATGTCTTTGCTATAAAGTGAAGCTGAATTTTATTTAACCTGAACTGAAAGCCCAAAATACTCTTTTGCACATATCCTGTCATTTCATCAACAATTAATTCTTGCTGAAGAAGAGAAAATGTCACTCTTGGTCAAGCCAACTTTTCTTTATACACCCCTTCTCAGTCCAGGAGCCACTATAAGAGAGCAGTTTATTATTACCCAGCCTCAGCAGTAAGCAGGGGGGACTGATTTATGCAAAAGCTACAGATCTGATAGAAATGCATTGTTAGAAATTCCAAATTTCAAAGGCAAAAGAAAAATCTTTCAGCTTACATTTTGTTGTTTGCTTTTAAAGATTTTTTCCAACTCTTTATCCAGCCACAGACCAGAATAAAAAAAATAAATATAATAGTAAAACAACAACAACAAAACAACAACAAAACGTGTTCTATATCTGCTTTTCTGACATTGCTGCCAAACATCTACGTCATCCTTATAGTCACAGGGTTGAATTCGTAATTGCTCCATCAGGCCAACCTCCACAGAGTCCACAGCCAACCCAAAAATGCAGCTGGCGGTCTGCTGCAATTAAGGCTGAACCAAGCAAGGCATAACCAGAATTATCACACACCAGTTTTGTACAAAATGCTCACAGCTGGGGACTTGCAAAGGTCAGGGAATGGACAGGGACCTTTAAGCTAGAGAGCAAGGCCTCCAATACAGACCTTGTCAGCTGTGACAGGAGTCCTTAGAGCTTAGATCGGTTTGGAAGGGTTTTGATGCTTCACGCTCATACCCAGTGGGCAACAATTACACTTAGCAATAAACAACAACAGAAGTCTTCGCAGAGGTCATGGGTTAAATAGATGGAGCTCGGCTACCCCCTTCCTTCTTGACAGGAGGTTTGTTTGTGGCAGCATGCAAAGGGCAGCCCAAGAGGAGGTGTGATCAGCCGGCAGATGCCCATCTGCGCTCCTGCCACCTCACAACTGAAAAGGGCACTTAGACTGACAGCCACCATAAAAGCTGTGGCACACTAAAATCCTCATAAAATACACAGTAAAAGCTCTCCTTGAACGTCTCCTGCATTAAAATGTCCCAATTTAAAAAAAAAAAAAAACAAACAGTCCCGAGAAAACATGCAGCAAAATCTACACAGATTTTATTTACTTGGTTGGAAATATGAGAGCTGGGTTTGGATATAAATATTTAGATTATATATTAATTTTGTATAATTCAATCATTATACACTGCTTTCTCTCTGATCTCTTGAGACATGTGACAAACGAAAACAGCGCATGGAACAAACCGGAGGTGTTTTGGTGGCAGAGATCTCTGTCCGCAGTAAGTGGCTGGGTTTCTGGGGTGTTTCTCCCTTTGGGAAGCAATGAACTGGGGAGCAGCCGGTGACTTGCAGAGCAGGGCAAGCACAGGGAGCAGAACTGCTCCCCTGTGAGAGCAAGAATCTTGAACAGAACTTGGTCCTTGGTCCTTCTGTTCAAGCTGTTCTGTTCTGTTCTTGAACAGAACCAGGTTTGTAGCTCTGACAGAATAGCTCAGTGAAACTCTCCCCATTCACAAAGTGAGTAACTGCACCCATTTGGCATTAAAGATAAATGGCCAAACCACTTACGCACCAAGTTAGCAATGTAAACCCTGTTCACCCGTGTTTGACCTCAGCAACAGCCCGGACAAGCGCTGATAGATTGCACGTGAGTGGGAGAGAGGCCAGGCTTAGGAGCAGCAGGAAAGCTGCACCGAGGTTTTCTTTGCACAGCTAGTGGGTTCTTCAGCATAACCATAAACATAGCCGATTAACCGCGTGTGCCTGTTGCTCCTCCTACACAAATCTAACAGCCATCAATTTTTCCCCTTACAAAGCAAAACCTTTTTCCTCTTAACTGCTGCCTCCTGGAGGCACCAGGAGTTTCTCCCTGAGCTACTTTAATTCTGCAATCCAGCATCTTTTGAAACAAGTCCTTGGAAAAAGGTATACCTTAATCAATACTTTCACCAAAGCTCTTTATACTAGTTTATCAACCACAACCACACCATCCTGCAAGCCAATTTAAAATTAAAAATATATATACAGCAGCGTTATTGCTATTCAGTATGTTACACCAGTAAAACTCCACTAATTTAAAAAAAAATAATAATAAAAGAATTGAGGATCCTTTTACAACTTCAGAGAGTAAAGCCAAGAGTAAGAAATACCCAGAATTTCAAAATGTTGCAAAAGTTATCTGTTCTGATTTTACAAAGCACACTAGTGCACTTTGCCCTATTTTAAACATGCCATTCAAGTGTTATCTTTTTCTTTTATTTTACACAGGCAAAGGTTTATCCAGATTTTACACACTCTCAGGTAAACAGCAAAATACAACAATGATTATATCAATACCAAATAAGAATCCTGACTGGCTCTGTCAACATAAAACCCATAGTTCAAAAAAAGACCTGGTAATTTTTATAAATTCAACTGAAAAGAAAATATTTTACAATCTTGTATCTCAATGTTAGACATTTTGTTTTCCTCTTCTAGGTACATCCTTCACCCTGGACAATGAAATCATACTAATAATTTCCAATACTGAACATTAACTTATCTTAATTTTACACGTACTTCCCAAAAAGGAACAAATGCATCCCACTGGGTTAACAGAGATGTTTGGAAAGCATTTCTATTTGGGAGAGTTTGAAAAACCCCTTCAGAGCCTGTTTGCTAAAACCTGATATGGTGACAGACCCATGTTAAAGCATGCAGTTACAATGGTAGGGATGCGAATAAAACAGGAAAGGTAACTGAAAGTGAAGTACTCACATTTAGTTTTCATTTCTCTTGCAGATATCATCTTCCATCTCCTCTTCACGATTGGATTTTGTGCTGCTTTATTATAAAAAGCAGCTTAGCTGAGTTTCTTAACTTTTCCCAATTCTGTTTGGACCTGGACTTCTTTACTGAAGATGTCTATTTTACAGAGAAGAAATTAAACTCACAAAAAATCCTTGTGCACCATTTCACCAGACAAATAAACCATTCCATTAGCTTTGTGCCTCTAGTATCAGAGAACCCCAAAGCTGTTTCACCTCCCCCAGATCTCTGCAGGTGTTTTAAATAATGAAAACCCAACAGTTATGTATTTTACTCATGCCTCCTTTTAAAGAGCAGTGATGCCAACTGCATTTATTTCTATACAAGTTTCTATTGAAACTTAGCACTTTCCAATGCCAAATTTCCCTTCAGGGTCCCCCTTCTCTGTCAGTCTCAATGTGGCATCAAACTCACCTTCAGGTCTGCTCCTGCAAGGCCCTGAACACCTCAGCTTGATCTGTGGAACCTTCCAACGCAACAAAAACTAACTTAACAGTTCAAGGATAGGAGAAAAGGGTGCCTTGTACATAACAATAATTAGAAGGCTGTTGGCATTACCTGACATTTCTTTCCTGTTTCTCAGCAGTGTCTATATGGATTGGGTGGGTGAAGCAGAGCTCAGCATGTGCTGCAGTAGGCACAACACCATTGGGACTAAGGTGTCTTGCTGACTGGACAGGCTTAGTGCTGAAGAGCTGCATGGTGTGGATGCAAATTAAGCACATCCAAGGCTGGAAAACAAAGTAGTGAGCTTTAGGATACATCTCTGGAGATACAACTAGTGTCAGATATGACAGAGTCCAGGTGTTAGCTCTGTATCTGAAATAATGAAAGCTATTAAATGCCATAAAGAACAAATCACCAGAAAGGGAAACCATGATTTCTAAAGAGAAAGAAGTATCAGGACATAAAACAATTCTCAGAAGTCATGGTATTTGCATTACTTTCAGTAACTACTAAAACAATATTCATCAAAATTTCTAAAAGTGTCAGGTAAGAAACCTTCCTAGATCTTTTCCATTAATCTTTTGGGATCCTAACGGTGACAGAGAGAAGAATGACTACAGCTCTTACACTCTTATTTTTTGGTCCCCGTTAACAAACTCAGTGGGTGTACATGTGTCTGTACACACTGAAGCATAAGCACATTATAGAAATAGGTGTATAGGCACTGCTCAGCTGCATCCCACAGTTTTTTTTAGCCAGTTTTCTCCCTCCAACAGTCCAGACATGTCAAGAATGGCACAAATATACCTGCAGTGAATGGACCTGAGACAAAATGCCCAACACAAGAAGCTTATTCTGATCTTGAAAGCTACAGATTGGCTTAATCCCTAATATTCCCTTCTTCCAGATCACTTTTCTGAAAGGCCCCCAAAGCATTCATATCTTTTTCAAGTTTCTATTGAAAAATGCTTATCTATTCTTCCCTCTCCCCAGTTTGGTTTTGAAAGGTCTTGATGCCTGGTGAACACAGTGATGCTACCTCAATCCCTCCCTGGCTTAAGGCAGTAAAGTGATGATGGATCTCAGCAAGACAGCCTTCTCAGAATTGGGAACTGGGAGAACCACAAACATTTTGAAGCAGTCACATTAGCTATTCTTTTGCCTTCTTTGGTTTTCTGTACTCCCATTATCTCAGAACAAAGCGGACTGTTTTGAAAAGAGGAATATCCTTCTGTAAATGTCATTCAACTACATGAAAACCACCAGCTTATGAAACGCATATTGCCATAGGCTTTAGAGAGAAAATTTTCTAAATAGTTATATTAAATTCAGGTTTTTCAGCTCACTGTTCTTTTTGAAACCTCTTTATTATGAAGATAATGCATAGCTAGAGTATGTTTTACATTACAGCCACACTTTTCAAATACACACAGGTTCCTCTTACCAAGGACTTTATTTGCTCCTCTAGGTATAATGTCAATGTATTTATAGAATACAAATGTATTTATAAAAATTGAAAACAACAAGGCTGTTTATAAGTTGAAATCAGCAGATAGCATCCACACTGACAACCTACAGAAAAATGGTCAGTTCAGAAGTGCATTTAGTTGTTGCATACAACAGAGGGCACTCTCTTGACAGAATTGTCTGATTAGGCAGGAGCGTAAAGAAGAACTAGATCTGTGACTGAAGCAATTCTGAGCAGCGCAAGAGTCTACAGAAGAGCAGAGCTGTTGAATGTTTTGATCATCACCCAACATTATAGATAATGACCCTTCAGGTGCTTCACTGCCATTTTCTGTTTTGCGTTCCTTTCTTCTCCTCACTAACACCCCAAATTTCAAAACACCCTGCCCAGTGGCTTTACTTTTTCAGATTCTTGGCCTTGCCAAATGGTATTAACTCACTGGCTTCTTCTCCAAAGCTTATTTCTTTTGCCCGGCCTTTGCAACAGTCACTGCTCTCCCCCCATCACAGCTATATTGTGCAGAAAGTCTTGAGCTAAGTTTTCTTGCCAGGTTGATTAAATTTTCTTCTTGATGATGCAATAAGTGTTTCTCTGGAACAAACCTTGCATGATTGCAGCAGCTGTGAAGTGTGCCTCCAGATTCCCAGGCTGCCTCCCTGCCCACCGTGGGATGGAGCCTCTGGGCATACATATCTCCCCCGTGCGTTACAGCACCACACTGAATGTGGTTCATGCAGCCAGCTAGCTGTGGGTACAGGACAGGCAAAGCCCAATCACCAATCCAAATCTGGATCACTATGTCCCTACAAGAATGGTTTCTTGCTAGCAAATAAATTAATATAATAATACAGCTCTCAGAAGTGACTGCTGAAAGATCCATCTGCCCTAGAAGACAACAACACGTGAACAGGCTTCACCTCTGGAAGTAAGCCACTTACTGTTCCTTAAGGTAGCTCAAGCTGTTTGTCCTAAAGAGCTCGCATATGGACTATCTTTCCCCTCATTTTTCCTAACCAACATATAGATTTACACTATTTATTTTGCTAAATAATATGTATGTTGACAGTATTTGAAAATGCAGTGGCTGCAAAAGATTTTAGTAGAAGCTAAAGCTTGACAAGCTTCTTAATTTCAGATGCGCTAAAACACTGGATCTTTTTCATCTGGTGGGGTATGAAGACGTTTGCCTTGATCTCTGCATCTGATAATGCAACTTCAGGCTAATCACCAAGATGTAGGGAAAATAAGGTTAGTTACAGTGAACACAATCTGTTTAGAACCTTGCATTTCTTTACCCAAAGATTGCAATTGGGTTTTGTCCTAAATCTTCCCTCTACTTGAATGACCTCTAATAGAGCATAGTGCTCAAACGCTTGATTTCTCACAGTTTGGGACTGTAATGGGGAACCACAAGGCCACCGAGGTCAATGCAGGAAGGAGAGCAATGAACACACACAGGTGTCAATTTAACAACACAGGTTGCAGCATGATAGCACTAGTACAGTGACACACATCTGCACAATACTTTGATCATTAAAAATAGGTCACTCTTCTCACTTGTGAATGGTAAACACCATTAACTTAGATGGCCTTTGACAGGCACTGCAGATGCAAATAACCATTAAGAAGCTCCAACAGAAATGGCCAGTGAAAGAATTGGTCATATTTAACAAAATGATCAGGAGTGCAAACCAGCAAGCATGCTACCTCTGCAAGTTAGTACTGTCCAGCCTTGATGCTCTATGCTTGGTTTCTCCAAAAAACAGTGCCATAGTATTATGATTGCTTCCACTCCTGCCACCCCAGGTCCTGCAGGGAAAAAGAAGGAGCAAGCTCCAAGACTGTCAAATCAGAATGGGGTATATTCAGGCATTATACCTTATATCCCGTGCTGGGATCCCACAGTTTCATATCTAAATTTGCAAATGAATCTTCAGTAGCTGGTATCAGAGGGCATGCAAATGATTCTTGTGCAGATCAGAGATGCCAGACTAGGTCTGATCTGATATGCCCACATAGCACAAGCCTGCTGGCTTGGCCCTGAAAGAAGTGAAGCCCAACCAGGACTGCAAGCCTTTCTGGTATGGGATTTCAACAGTAGCACACTGAGGCAAACATTGCATGCACTGCCCGAGCCAGCAATACATTACACAATATAAATACAGGTAACGTTTCAGATCCAGACAGCATATATAGCTGTGTACAAACTCCCTGCTTTAATCCTAATTCAGACACCAACATCATCTCTTTATTCTGTAAACCTGACATTTTGTTTAAATGCCCCAGCCAGTGACAAGGAAGAACCCTACTTATAATACTATCGTAAGAACCATGAATTAGTACATATAAAGCACAGCCTAGAAGTTCAATGTGTGTGTTAGGAATGAATCTCCTCACCCTATTCTGAAGACCAAATCTGTCCAATTTATCTCCATCCAAAGGGCAGCTGTCATTCACAGGTGAAGAGGAAAAAATGACTATTGATTGATTAGACCCTACAGCCATTTCACATAGCATACCATCGTGACCCCACAAAGGTCAAGACAAATAGCTTCAGAGAAAGAAATAACAAATCTTGCTGCCAGACAGTTAGGCACTACAGGGAGAGACTGGTTTCCTGAGGTGCCAGAGCTGTATTGTACCCTAAAGCATGGAGATCAGCATGCTTTCCGATACACTTTCTTTTGCTACTGGAAGAAAAGCTAATATCCATCTATTCTTTTTGCTCTGTTCTTCAAAAGGGATTACATTAGACATGCTCCAGTTCTGAGAAAAAATTTGTCAAATGTTCCTATCCAAAGCCCACCTGCAATGCAAACAGCTCTTCTGTAGTGCAACCAGTCTGCAGTTTCCCCAGACTGGTTCCTACACTGAGCAGCCTGTCTCCTTCTCCTGCTAAATTTTCTCTTCTTGTGGTTTCACCCACATTAACACCCTCCTCCCACAGGCTAGCTCCCTGTGGGGGTTTACAGACCGTGACAGCACCAGCAGGGATCCCACCCTGCTGCAAGTCAGTCTGCTTTCCTGCTTACACTCACCTGCTCTACTATATGGAAAATAACATCAATATTTTTCTTCCGGGAATAAACTCAGTGACATACATCAACACTCTACAGACAGAGATATTCAGGACATGTATCATATTGCTCTAATTTTTAAAAGGACAATTAAGTCACAATAGGTAGCACAGACTTGTCAGTAACATGGCCCTGAATTCTGTTTTGAGATCTTGCAAGTTGCCATTGCGCTGTGCTTTTCCGTAAGCACTTTCAGCAGCATCCCAATGATGCAGTACTGAGTGATGGGAATGGGGAATGTAAATCCTATTCCTTGGTGGGTGCTAAAACTGAGGCCTAAAGTGAGGCCTTATCACTGTGAACCATTTGCACAGCACTATAAATTTACACAGGGATAATAAGCCCTTATCAGGGCATTCTGAGTACTTCTCATTGTCTTTAACACCCAACACTTTCTATAGCACATTTTCATGAAAACCTCGAAGTACTCTAAAAACAGTAACTAATCTCAAAGATTTATTTTTCCCTATACAAGCTGATAAAAACTGAGGGAGAAGAAATGAAGCAAGCAGGTCACGCACAGCAGGGCAACAAGTCCAGTTCCAACTCATCCCAATCAGTCAACTGAATAACAGAAATAGTCATCAAAGAAAGATGTGTGGCCCTATCTGATGTCTGAGGTTGAAATATGAATTGAGAAAACTTACAAATTTTATTTTGTTTGTGTTGGAAAGAGTAATCCCATACCTACAGAAAATCAAGACAGCAGATGGAAAAATTCCCATGTACCATTTATGAG